TCACTCACCGATGACGAAAATCCACAAGCTGGCGAAACCATCCATGCTGCACCTCACTTACCACTTCATAATGACCTGTTCAATCCAATTACTCCCCATCTTCCATCCTTGCACCCACCCAGGGCAACATTCCTGAGAAAGCTCTATCAGCAAGCAGGCTTTTGGATCAAAGAATTGGAAACATGGAAAATCACGAAGTTTCTTCTGACAAACCTCAGCAAGCTTTGGACAACCATGAAAAGTGTGGTCCCCGCTAAAACAAGTTTATGCCAAGTCAGAGCCCCTGTACAGCAAATCTCCACCACAGGAGCCTCAGTGCAAACCTCTTATGCATTTGTGAAGAAACACAATGCTGCATATCACTAAGGAGTATCTCCTCTACAGGCCAATTGTCAGAATGTACGTTAAACTCCAAAAATGAGGAATCTATCACTGATAATACATAAAAAAAAAATCAACACACATTCACCCTCAGCAAAATGGATCAGCTTCGAGCCATTACTCTTCATGAGGAAGCCAGGAGCAAAGATGCAGCTGAGGTTGTCCCTGGATCATTGTTCAGTAAATAAGCAATGACATTAGAAGAGGAAAATTGGGAACTAAACTTTAGATAAAAATTGACAAACTTCCAATTCTGGATAGTGGACGTGACAACATCTCAGTGTAACAAAGCTTGCAGGGTTCCATCTGTCAGTCAATTAGTGGAGAGAAAGCAAGAAAAAAAGTTAACATATATCACTAGGCCTGACCGCACCACCAGGATTCTGTGAATTAAATCAAGCAGTAGTAAGGATGTCCACAGATTGAATGAGGAAAAAAAAATAAATTAGGACAAATCAACTTAGGTGTACATTATATTGATCAGTTAAAATGTATCATTGGGAAAGGTCAAGCATATGCTGACTGCCTTATACCTAACAACTTCACAATAAGGAATTGAGAAATAAACCACACACAACTGAAAATAAAGATGAATAATAATTCTTTCAAATTAATTGTAGAGCAGTTAATAAGATTCTACAGTAATTTTTCACTGAGGTCAGAAACATAATGCTGTGAACTGGATCAATACAGCACATTTGTATTATTAATGTAGCACAAAGACATCATGAATTTGAACAAACTGAGCTATTCACTATCCAAATTAAAAGCTCCAACACATTGAAGAAATGAATTATGAAGCCTTCTGAGAATGTTCATCTCATAACATTTTAGAGATGCCAAAGATGCCAATGGTACATCTTTAGGAGATTGAGATTAAATTAGGAAATGCAAGATTACAACCAATTTAAATGGGAGCACTTTGTATACGATTCTGAAAAAAACAGAAATGGGCAACATTTTTGAATTAATGTGATTAAAGTTGTACAACATAATTATATTTTGGGATTTGGATTTCAAAATAAAGGTGGATAGATGTGGGTCAGTTATGGAGTCAAAAGTCATACAGCATGGAAACAGACCCTGCAATTCAACTCATCTGCGCAGATCAGATATCCCAATCTGACCTAGTCCCATTGCCAGCATTTGACCCATGACCCTCAAAAACTTCCCTATTCATATACCCATCCAGATGCCTTTTAAATGTTGTAATTGTACCAGCCTCCACCACTTCCTCTGGCAGCTCATTCCATACACACACCACCCTCTGCGTGAAAATATAACATGTTAAGGTCCTTTTTCAATCTTTCCCCTCTCACTTTAAACCTATGTCCCCTAGTTTTGGACTCCCCCAGACTAGGAAAAAGATGTTAGCTATTCACCCTTTTCATGCTCTTCGTGGTTTTAGGAAGGTAGTTTCTAAACAAAGCAAAGCAATTCAAGAAAGTAATTGGGTAGAGTGAGCTAAGTGCATAAATTCCAAAGAAAGCAGATGACAGTTAAGTGTCTGGGAGATTTCTTGCGCTGTGAATGGAACACTTACATTGCTGGGCTTACAACAGATCAAAAAACCCATTAAGTTTAGTTTTGACTTCAGAATATAAGTTCCAAGGTCTCTGTTCAGAAGAAACAGAAGTTCAGTTGAAAGAAAAGTTCTTCTTAGTAGGAGAATTAAGCTTTTAGTGACTGTAGCTGAAATGTTATAGTCTATGAAGCTTCTATGACAGGAGCGTTTGGATAGAAATCTTTTACTAAATAGAACTGAAGACATTTTGATCATCACAATTGTGAAAATTTCATGTCAGTGAACTGGAAAGGAGTCATAAAATTGCCTCCACCATCTAAGGAAAATAAACTGGGAGCAGTCAATTAGATGAGAAATGGGGCAGCATGGTGGCTCAGTGGTTAGCACTACTGCTGCACAGTGCTAGGGACCCAAGTTTGATTCCATCCTTCAGCGACTATCTGTGTGGAGTTTGCACGTTCTCCCCATGTCTGTGTGGGTTGTGCAAGTTAGATGGATTGGCCTGCTAAATTACCCATTGTGTTCAGGGATGTGTAGGTTAGGGAAATTAGCCATGGGAAATGCAGGGTTAGGGGGATGGGTCTAGGTCGGATGCTCTCTGGAGGGTCAGTGTGGACTTGTCGGGTTGATTGGCTGTTTCCACACGGTAAGGATTCTATGAACTTGATGAGATAAGAAATAGATTTCTCCAGAATGGAGTATTCATAAAAGGATAATGTTGGGGAACAGGTTAAAACATTGTTTTGCTGTTTCCGTTCATATTTTTCAAATGATCTTATATAAATGAACATAGCATTTTTTGTTTCATTTTGTGTAAAATAAATTTGTATTCTGTTGTTAAAGAACATCAGCAGACTAACAGGAATACATTTCAGTGACTAACACCAATGATGGTTGCCAACTAAAACCTAAAAATGTAACAACAGTCACTGAAATATTACAAACATTAATAGAGATGATGCAATTAACTAGAAACAGTTAACTTTCGCAAGATGTATAAGCGTTATTTAAATTTAGGGTCCAATTTAAATTAAGAATGCAACGTCTATAAATATGAAAATTCTCACATTCGATTTTATTATAAATTTTGAATTCAAGTAGTAACTGGTCAATCAGGACAGTATCTAATTCAGAATTTAACATGTGATCTCAAGTAAATTTATAATTAACTTTTTGGATTAACTCAGTAGCTGACCCTTTTGGAAACAATCATAAAGTGTAACGACTTCCAAGCTAAACCACTGAGAAACTACATCTGTAAAATCACTCTTTGCCCTCAAAAAGGTCTTGTCTCTTCCACAAACACTACATAAATTTTAGGCACAAGTTAGTAGAGCAAAGACTTAGAGATCCCTCAAAGTGTACACAGAGCCAAATTAACCAGCTGAAACTATACAGCTTGCCCACATTGATTATTGAAAATTACTTGCTGTTTGTCTATTCCCCAAGGTGTTATATCATATTAACTACTGGGTTATCTGGAACTGAGAAGGAAGAATTCCACCTGAAAATGTCAAACTGCTTCATTAAGTCTCACAGGCTAGTTAAGACAGCTGTTGAACCAGAGTCAGTTATTAGATTACCGAGTTTGCAATAGAGAATTAACTTGATGCCAAACTTGATTGCTATCTCAAGTCCAAACAGACTGCACGTAGCTCCCAGAAGAAGGATTCTCACAGCTGATGAGAATCTTTCTATTAACACAGTTAAATATTTTTAAGTTTTTAAGTGCTCCACTGGGCTACAACTAACGATTGGCAAAGTTCTCTGCTCTCCAACAAACCTACAAGGTATCCTTGTAGTATCGTGAAAGCCCCATACTGGATTTGTGTCTGATTCAACATGATGTAGCTAGGGACCCTTCCCATGGAGGTTATGCAGACTAATGGACTTTGCTGCACAAAATAGCAGATTAAGTGACCTAAATGTGTAGTGTTATTTGAGATGATCTCACACTGATCTCTGTTATTGTCATTCAGATCTTCTTTCAAGACATGACGAGATCCAAAACTGATCTCCAAGGTGAATTTATGGTGGCCTGCACTGAAGTGCCATTGAGTACCTGAGCAAATCAATGGGGTATTATTTTTATCTGTGCTGTTGTCAGAAAGATGACAATAATTCATTTGCTTATTGCTTGGTAACTTGAGCATGGATTTAAACCTTAACCAGATGGATCAAAGATATCATGAGCCTTTCAGAAACAATAAGTAAAGCATCAAACTACAACTGGCCTCAGTTTCTGAAGAAAATTCGCTGAGGTTTGTCCTCATTTCTAACGACAAGCCTCTGCTGAAAAAATACTTTTGGGTGTTGGTTAATGCTGGCTGTGACACTTCACACAAGTAAACACTCTTTTTACATGCATTATCTGGATTCAGACATGACAGTAGACACTGTGCAAAGTGTTGAGGGCTTTCAAAATTTGAAATCTCCTCTAAAGCATCAGCCACCACTGTCAAGGGAAGGAGGAGTGGAATTGAACGATGCTCAGCTGGTTTTAACAATATTGGATATTTTACATCAGAATAAGGACAAAAGCACTGTTTGGGAGTCGCCATCAATGGTCTCATCCAAGGAAATTCTCTACGGAATTTATAGATATCTAATTAATGCCTGGACATTTATCTAAACAGTCTCTTAGGTTCTGGTGAAGGGTCATCATCAACCCAAAAATGTTAACTCTTTCTCTCCATGGATGCAGCTTTACCTGCTGAGGTTTTAAGCATTTTCTGTTTTTAATGATGATCATTTTCCACTTCTGGCTAAGCAATCTCTAAACAAATAGCATTTGATAGATTTTAATTTGGAATAGAGGCCATGCAAATTATGTCATGAAATAAATCCTCAGATCTGTTGCCGTCATTTCAAGGAACTGTACCCAATGTATGAAAAATTCTGTATTGACTACTGACCAGACGTGATCAGATAACCATTGCATTACTCAATTACAAAGTACCTGTTAAGTTATGCCTGCCTCTAAGAAGAGCAGATGTTTTCCATGTATATCCATCTCAGTCTATAGATAGACTCTAACGTGAAAAAGAGCAGGTAATGTTCATGATGAAGCTATAGAAATACTAATTCCACATACCTGTAAAGGTGACCAATCAGTGCTGCAAGAGTAACCCGGTTGACACGTGGTAATGTCTGTATTAGCATTCGATATTTTTCCAGTCTTTCTTTTTCATTTTGTACATCTAGTGACAAAAGACAGTTCGGAGTTAAGCACAGATATAAAGCTCAAAAAAAGGCAATAAATCAAATGGGCTCAACACAATGGAATTGTGTAACCATATGTATGTTTTTAAAATTACAAGCCTGATTACCATACTGGTCCTTTCTCGATACAAAATTACACACCACCTTCATGAGCACAACTCATTATAGAGCAGTGCCCTTCATGACATAGGTAACAGGTTGCTCAGAGTTGTATGTTCTCTCAGAGGGCCCCAGCTCAACTCATTTTAATGAGATTTAAGCACTTGATAGCATGGAAGGTTTTGCTTACAGAATTCTGCAGGGAGTTAATTTTCACTTTCCTCGAAACAAACAAAACTTTTATGCAATTCAGCTTTCAATGAATTCATCTAGCAGTTCACTGAGCACACACGAAATACATTTGCACTCTGGGGCTTTATGATTTATGGAGCTTACTGTGATTTGTGGTTTGGGGTTTGTAGCTCACTTCGATGAAACCTTTGCTAAAATTACATTCTTAAAATATTCACAAGAAACATGCAAACAAATTCATGACATATTTGCATTTGAAAATTAGATGCAGTAGATTGCTTAGGTTGGGATTAATACATATATTCCATTTACACATGTACATATAGACATGTTGCTGTGATGATACAACCTAAATTAGACACGGCTTTTGTTGGGCATTGTGCATTTAAACAGAAGCTTAAAAGAGGGAATTTAAAATCACAAAGCCTATGTATATAATATTGCTAAATGCCAATTTTGCAAAATGTTTAATCATTTCAGAATTATTCACCGTTCGCTGGAATTTAAACATATGAAAGTCATACACTGCACAAAACAAAAAAGCACCTGTAATGCTGGAAGTCTCGTGGTATTTATAC